AAAAAAAAAAAAAAAAGAAACGAGTGCAACTGCACCTTGAAATCGCACGAATGCAAAAAAAACGTACCACACTGTAAATAAAGCTTTCGTTAAACCTCTTCACGATTAATTTTTTATCTTCAATAGCAACTGATACACTCTTTAGCAGATACACTCCGCTATGTCACAAAACCAAAATCTAATTATCACTCTGCAGGCATTATTCCGTTGTCACGTTTCCCTCCCCGGTAATCTTATCGTCGCTTTAACCGATCGGCTGTTAACCGATGACCCGCTGAATGATTCACTCGACAAATTCATTCGAGCGGCTCTTTTTTCTTCTTCTTCTTCTTTTCCTCTCTTTTTTATATCACGATCCAGAAATATGCACGGATACTTGAATACCAGCGATCTCCTTCTCTATTCTCGCCAGCCGGTCGCGCTCTCACGCTCCGGGCGGTCTATTTAACAGAACGTAAGGTTGCCCCTCAGAATACTTAATCGAGCCACGGAAACTACGTATAGTAGGCTCTCCGGCGAGAGAGAGAGAGAGAGAGAGAGAGAGAGAGAGAGAGAGAGAGAGAGCTTGAACGCTTGCCGTTACAAATCCTCTTGGTCCTCGAGACCGCGGATTGCGCCGCATCTCGCCACGTACTTGGAAATTGGGGCACGATCGTCGATAAATCAGTTCCTCCCCCTTGCAAGTTCGTCAACTTGAACTCCGCGATCCTCTCGTTTGTTCGAACGGAAAGTTCACAGAATTTAATCTGTCGTTTCTTCCTTTTTTTCGCCGGACGAAAGGTGGTTTGGGAAAAAAGAAACAAGCGTGACGAATTGTAACTTGAAAACACTCGTACGTATGTAAATAAGTTGACTCTTATTTTATACTGTAATTTAAATATAATTATTATTTAATAAATAAATAATTGTTTTAATTATAATTTATCTTGTATTCTATATCAGATCTTATTTCTTGATGTAAATGTGTATCCACGCGCGAAATAATTTTCATTGCAAAGTATTAATTAATTAAAATGTTATACTTCCAAGGATGTAACACAATTATTTTAATTATTATATTTATTACAATTGATATAATGTAATAAGAGTTCAGTACTGATAAAAGAAAGAATTATTACAATAAGTGAAACTTCAAATAAATTCTCGAGTTTCTTAAATGGACTCTGAATTATTATATTTATTATAAATACTATTTTATTATAACTAATATTATATACATACTATGCATATATATTATAATATTATATACATACTATACATATATATTATATATATTAGTTATGTGTAGTATGTATATAATGTTAGTTATAATAAAATAGTATTATATACATACTTTATAATATATATAATATATATGTATATTATAATGTTATATATTCTGTAATCATTATAATTATTACAATTGATATAATGTAATAGAGTTCAGTACTGATAAAAGAAAGAATTATTACAATAAATGAAACTTCAAATAAATTCTCGAGTTTCTTAAATGAACTCTGAATTATTATTTATTATAAATACTATTTTATTATAACTAATATTATATACATACTATACGTATATATTATAATATTATAATATATATGTATACTATGTATATAATTTTAGTTAATAATAAATTAGTATTATATACATACTATACATACATATTATATATTATAAATATTTATATATAATATAATAATTATATAATATATAATAATTATATATTTTAATATAATATAAAATAGTATTATATACATACTATTTATAATATATATAATATATATGTATATCATAATGTTATATATTCTGTAATTATTATAATTATTACAATTGATATGAATGTTACTCGAATTCTTATTTTATCGAACTGATAAAATAAGAAAGAATTGTTGCGACGATGAGTGAAATGTCAAATAAATTCTCGAGTTTCTTAAATTGAAACTATTCGCCGTAGGGGGAATATTAAAAATGAAAAGGAAGGCATTTCCGGATCAGAGAGATGGACGCGTTTCCACGAGGAAATTCATCGAGCTACACTCCGCCGTTGCTCGCGTTCGTTGAAGTTTCTGGCAATAGGATGCTGGAATTGATCTCTCCGAGGAGTTGCCGTTGAAATTCCCTCAATGAAAGAAAATAAAACATCGTGAAGATTATTCCGGGAGATAAGCACGCGGCTAACTACAGATGCTCTGATAATCTTCCTCCGTAATCTTTCAATTCCGTATAATGGCTGTATGTTGAATAAATAAACGATCGTCTGAATAATTCAAACAGTTATCTCATTGAGAATTAAACGAGCTGCAATTTTATATTAGCGTAACATGCTTTGGATTTATTATGCATAGTGTCATATATCGATGTAAAGAGATTGTAGACAAATTGCAAATGTTGTAGATGAAAGTATATTTTTAATATGACAATCACCTTGAAAACCTTAAAAAAAAAAAAAAAAAATCGAGGATTACAGTTCACAGAAGCGTGAAAAACTTCTAATCTTTCTAACCTGATTGCGCCACGTGAAAATTGCAGAGTCTATCGAGGAATTTCTCACGTTATAGTAGATGATCTACCCGCAGACCTCAAGACATGAGATTTGTGGTCCGTCTTTTAACACACGTTATCTATCGCTTTACATAAAAATTAACAAATTAATTATTTTCATAAAA